ATTGTATAATAATAATAATAATAAAAATTAGGGAATAATATTTTGTTACCAGGATACATGAAATTGATTAAATTTCTTGCGGAACAGTTAAGTTCCATTATTATAATCTCATTATCACAAGATTATACATCATGGCATTGCTTTTAAGAGAGAAAAAATATAGTTTTATGGGTACATATGTTTTATCTATATCCTGGGTTTCTGAGACAAGGGCAGCACATACTAATTTGGTTTTATTAAGCTGGAAATTCTCAGAACACAATCGTAGTACTTATAGCTTTACCTTCTCTAGACCATGTCCACCCAATTCTTTAACTGTAGACCTTCTGCCAATGTTTTTTAATAGTCCCCCACATAGCAGAAGTGAAAGGGTACAGAGACCGCAAGCAATGATTCTATATTGCAGTCCCCCCACATCCCATTGGGGATGTGTCCCAAAATTACACTGGCCTTCCATCAACTGTTAAAAATAGAACTGTTCTGGATGGTCTTTTAGAAATAAAATGACTTAAATAATATGAAGCAGTAAGTGTAGTGTTAAATATGAATTGGCTTTATGTTTTTAATCTTACGTTATAAACTGTTGGTTCCTTCCAATAAAACATAATTAGGATTAAACACAGTTCATATAGATTTAGGTATTATAAGGTACGGTTAATCTAGAATAGAAAGGAAAGACTCTTAATGTCTCTTCAAAGCTATGTCACAGGAAGGTAAGGGAACATATAAGCACAAACCCCATTGCATATCAAGCAAAATCAAAGTATCTAACTGAATATTACAGGAAAAAATTACCACAACTGAGTGAACAATACATTCCATTCAGAAAACAATACCTGATTATTTGGATCTGTGAGGTATCTCACCACTATAGGCATAAGGTATTCAGAAAATGCTGCAGGGAAGTTTGGCCTACTCTCCTGTAGAAAAATGGCAATGGGTGGTATCTGTTCCATTAATTCTGTCCGTACAGTAGGTTCTAGAAATTGAAATTTTAAAAAATTTGAAAATACTTTTGGGATTAAGCCAACAGTTTGTATGCCATTAGCAGCTGAGAAGATGGATCTGAGAAGCCAACAAATAGTAACCTTCATTCACTGTTTCTCCTTGTCACTGACATTAAGCATGATGCCTCCAATAAAAATAAGGCAATATACAGCCATCAAACTATTAAAAACAGTGTTCCACGATTTTTTTCTAGTCATCTGTTAATACTATTAAATAAATTGATAGACATCACAATATCTGCTAGTTGCAATTTGTAGAATTTAACTAGAAATAGTATAAAAAGTAGAGAAAAGTAAAACGTTTTCTATTGTTCAGAATTTTCATTCGTTTCAATGGCTAATTCCAATGCTAATACTTTGAAGAAAGTGGGGGAAAGAATAGTTTCTATCAACATTTTATGATTATTTCTTTAAACTAATACAAAACTCCTTTTATGTTAAACAGTTCCAAGCACCATAACCTTTCTTTATAGAGGAGCTATTCCTATCCAATACGCTATGTGGTTGATTTTTTTTCTTGTGCTTTCTCCAGAAACATAGTATCTTATCTGAAAGGCGGTGGAACCGAAAATAGTTTAAATGCAACTTATATTGCATTATAAACTAATAAAAATAGAAACCAAATGTAATAAATATATGAAGAAATCACTTCCTCCTTAACCACAAGTATAAACTATTTTAGTGATTTATCACTTTCTTATAGTCTCTACAAGAACAACAAAATCTCTTGAGATTTCAAGCAAAAATGTGAAAAACATCTAGAAATCTCAGGAATTTAAAATTCTATTTTGGTATAATACCTTTGCAGCCTACAAACTGGAAATCAGATATGCAAATTATCATTGGGAATTTACAAGATTTTTTAGAGATGCTGATAATTACTTTCACCGCAAATCAAGTAAAATATTTAATTCTTTTTTTTTTTCTTTCAAGTCTCAAAATCTGTAGAACCCTGCCAATGATTATAGTCATAATCTATATTTCATATGTACAAGTTTATACTCAAATACACTAATACAAAGAACACATTTTTAATTAATGACAGTATAAAGAACAGAAGAGTCACCTGTATCTTCAGACAGCCGGACCACTATTGACATAACTGTCAAGAAATCTTCCTCATTATGATTGAAATCTCGAAAGACATCAAGTAGACCCCTGGCAATTATTTGCCTGCACAAGCAACAAATATTTAGTTATTGTTTGAAATATTAATTCATAATTACAGCTTTGTGAACAAATTTAACAACAGTATAATCTAATTCAACTGCAGGTATGTTTTATTTATGTTCAACACAGGGGGACTCTCCTGAAGGGCTCATCGCCTTTTCCAAATTACTCAGAGAATTGCTGGCAGAGGATAACATACAAAGCAATACTGGCTGGGAATCAAAGTCTCCTTTTAAAAAATCCTAAAGGAATTCTAAACTGAAAGATAGGCCATGACCGCATCTAAAGTTAAGTAATTGATCAATTTCAGCTTTTTGAGTATTGTTCTCTCTGCTTTCAGCATGCAAAGGAAGGTACAATTCCTTCATTTCAGCACATAATATATGTCCATATAAATCATTGAACATGCACATAAAGACCTAGATAAAAAAGATTAATAATTAAAGCAATTAAATGGCTATGTTACAAGCAGAATTTTGCAACGGTTATTATCATAGTTATTAATTATTATAACAATATTGTTGTAAAGTCAAAGAACTTTTTCCCATTTTGTTCTGGTACTGTTGTTTATTATCAGAGAAGAGAGAATATACCATTATGTTCATTCGTTATACAGGTAGTCCTCATTTACCAACTTCCTCATTCAGCAATTTGAAGTGACAAAAATGTTTAAAAAAACTGTGACAAATCTTGCATTTGTGATTATTACAGTGTCCCACAGGGACACAAATGCCATTTGTGCACTTTGCAATTGGCTTGGTAGAAACTAAGTTAATAGAGAAGGCATGTCTCTACCATGATGCTTTGCTTAACAATTACAATTTCAGGCATTTTTTTAAACAACTGAAGAGAAAGTGGTATCGTAAGCCTGTTGTGGTCACGTAATCTTCCACTTAGCAACAGAAGTGCAAGTGCCAATTTTGGTCATTAAACAAAGAATATCTGTATAAAATTCCCTTTTTAGATTTTTTTTATCTCGCCACATAGACAAAAAATCTCTAAACCCATAAGGTAAAGATAAAGATTCCCCTTGCACATATGTACTAATCATTTCTGACTCTAGGTGTTCATCTCTGTTTCAAAGCCGAAGAGCCAGTGCTGTCCGAAGAAGTCTCCGTGGCCATGTGGCCGGCATAACTAAACGCCGAAGGTGCATGGAACACTATTACCTTTTCATTAAAGGGGTCCCTATTTTTCTACATGCATTTTTACTTATTTTCAAACTGCAGAACTTGGGAGAAGTAACGGGAGCTCACTCCGTTACACAGCACTAGGGATTCGAACTGCCAAACTTTCTGATCGACAAGCTCAGTGTCTTAGCCACTGAGCCACTGCATGCCCTAAACCCATAGATTTTGCAATATCAAAACTCTCTCTGATATTTTATTTGAAACAATGCATACATGATATAATCTAAAACTTAGTTGGTCCAGGAAAGAGCAAAACACCCTGTATCCCTCAAATATTTCGACCAACTTTCATCAGCTCCAGAAAGCATAGCCAAAAGGATCTAAACCAAGTTATTCAAAATATCCAAACAGCATTAATTGTCTATCCCAGTTTCAGGATTTTTTTTTTTAAATGCAACAAAATAGTAATAATTATTTTCTATATTACCTGTTAAATATATTATCACTAAAAGCATATTTTTCTAAACGTCCAAGTGGAGTTAAGTTATCCTGCCCTGGAATGTCCAGGAAAGCAGTTATCCTCATGCTCTCACAATCTGGTCCATAGTCTTCAAACCCAACTTTAAAAAGAAAGAAAAATGACACGTTAGTATGAAAGGAGGGGAAGAGGAATCCAACACCAATCTAATTTGCAGATGTGCCCTTGGCTACATTTCCTTTATCAGGCAGAAAATTTTGCTTCTGTAAGTGTATGCTCACTTGCATGCCTCTACAGAAAGGGTTAAAAAGAAGTTAAGTTTGTCAGGTGATATGCAAGGGCAGCAGTTAGTTGCAAAAGGGTGGCTTTGAGTAACATGTATTTCCTTTGTTTCATGGGCCGTGAAAAATAAAGACAGTTCACAATGGATGTCTCAAGATTGACTACCCAACTGTCACCCTAAAGCTGAACTAAAACAATCGTTGGGATCAAAACATATAATTTGTGAAAAGTGATCACAAAAATGAAAAACCAGATAATTCAGGGACTGAAATCCAGATGCAACTATATTCAAGGAAACTTAATATAATATTGAAGGTGGCATACTACAACCGGAACAATCTAAGAAATTTCAGATTGTGATTGATTGAAGAGTAGTCATTTGGTGGAAGACACAAATATTTGTTATTAGTAAAGCTGCATTAAAAAGTAACATTAAAGAAAATTTTGCAAGAAAATTTAAAAATATGCACACATTATTTGTAACGTTGTTGAACAGATATACCTTAGACTCCACTTTTGCTTTAAAAAGAAAGTGGAGAAAGCTATATGAATTACACAACCTCGCACAGATAGTCCTCACTTAACAACCTCAATTGGCATTGGAATTTCCATCCCCAAGCAAAATGGTTGGTAGGTGAAACATCATATAACTGTGTCACTTAGCAATAGCAGTTCTGGTAATCGTGATTGTAGTCATTAAGTGAGGACTGTGCCACTAAGCAAGGAACTTACACTTCTGCCCTTCCATCCTTGTCTCGTTCATCTCCCATATCTAAAGTGTCTCTGTGTGTATCCATGCCACTCTCCCTCTGCTAACTATTACAATCTTCTTCCTTCTGTTGCCAGTGGCACAAAGGTCAGTGAGGGGCAGCAAGGATAGGCAACGCCAGTAGAGAGCAGGATGGCCAAAAGGGCAGAGATGGGGGGAGGCATACACAGGTGGGAGAGTTGAAGGACATGCTGTAGTCATAAATGCATGCCGGCTACCAGGTGGCCGAATTTTAATCTTGTGTGCTAATTTGTAAGTACCATTCATTCAGTGCCACTGTAACTTTTTGAATGGTCCTTAAGCGAGTATTACCTGTATAATCCTCAATATTTCATTTTCTATTTCCCTTTCCCAAGTACTTAAAGCTTATCAATGCTGCTTCTATGTGAAAGAGAGAGGTTCTTTGCAGATTGAGAATAAGCACTGTCAGTCAGTTTTTTGATATGTGCAAACACAATATGGCCATTTTCTGTTGGCACACCACAATTGTTAACTTTGTAGTCAGTCAATTTATGCAAAACCCGCCATTGTAGGAATTGAACATTCTATAAAATGTTCGAGCATTGCATGTCTCTTCTAAACACACAGATGGCCAGATGATTCTTTCAAATCAGAAGATTATAATAATATAATGATTATTAAACACCTTGTCACTTAATTCAAAATCTTAAGAGTCCTGAACAAAAAGATATGTTGTTAAGTACAGCATTTTTTTTACAAATTAAAGTGTGCATAACATTACATAAATGTTACATTACATGAACATTAGTAATACAATATAAGATTTACATCTATCAAACGAGGTTTGGAAATTTATCTGAACAAAACAACTCCAAATTTGAGTAGGTTATTTGAAAGTCTACTTCCTTCTCCTTAACTGGGGGAAAAGAAACCAATTTAGATTATTGATCATCCAAACATATCAACAATCCACCACTAAAAGCCAACTGTAGATTTACCTTTCCAGAGTTCATAGTAACAGAGGGTCGGGAGGATGCAGGAGAGTGTTTGAGAGGCACCATGCGGGTTCAGGAAGGTGTGCAAGAGGCATGGTACAAGTTGGGATGATGCAAAATAGATACCATTACATCATGTCCGGCCAGATCTGCTTCTCTACCTGAGCAGTGACAGTCACCAACAGATATCTGCCTTCAGGATTTTGAACAATATTGCACAGGCACCTAGGTGACAGGGCTGCATTCAATTGGAACAGCCAGTGCATCAGCAGGAGGCCTGGTTTGTTTTTCTATGACTGTCACAAAGCCTGCCATGTTGAGAATGGCCCTGTGCTTCTTACAAGCTGCAGGGAGAGTCAAATAAACTGGAGTACGTGCTGCCTGTGTCATGTTTCAGCTGCTGCAGAGTTGTGTTCTGAAGTAGTGTCTGACAAAAAGAACGGCAGTTGCGAACTCTGAAGGGAGAGATGCTCAGTGGTTGCTTTTAAAAAAATTGGCAGTCCCTGGAGTGCAGCTATCTTCCCTTTCTCCCCCTCCCCAATTTGGAGACCAGGGAGATAATGATTTTCCTTGGGATTGTGGGTATAATTCAGAGCTCTAGCTACCTCAGTGAGAGCACGTTGGGTGGGGAAGGGCATCTGATACATTTATGAGGGGTGAGAGGGAAAGCCTACTATTTGAGACTGAAAGCATCTTAAAGATCTGATTTGATAATCCACTTGGTTGGTTGTGTTACCAGGTAATAACATGAAATATTTTGACTGGAGAGTGGAATGAGAAAGGTCAGGAGGGAGCTGAAGTGTGGAAGAAAGAGAAAGTTATTGTGACAGATAATGGATACAGAGGGCTATGGTGGGACATAGGGAGTGGACCACTCTTGGGGAAAATAGACTCAGCATGCTATACTTGTTCCACATTCCAGCCTCCTATACTTATTCCCAAGGCCTGATCATCTGATCTTCAGTGGTCAGAATCCCTGGCTGCTGCTACTGAATTCCAGGTCATTCGGTAATAAGGCTTCCCTCGTCCACAATTGAGTAGTGGAGGAGAAAGCCAAGCCCATGTATATTACGAAAACATGGTTGGTTGCAGATGGGGTAATCCCTTCTTTAAAATGTGACCAATTGATTACAAGTATGACGTCAGCCGTAACCCCAGGCAGGGGAAGTGGAGTGGCCATTATCATTCAAAAGTCCTTGGTGATGCTTACAGGCACTGCCAGGCAGGGAAACTGGATAGGAGACCCTGCTTGTATAGTTAAGCTCGTGGAATAGATGTTATCGCATGTACTTCCCTGCTATATGGCCTACTGGAGCTCTTCCATACTGGGTCAAGTTGGGGGTTGGAGTTGCCTAGGCCTATGCCATTGAGGGATTTGAAACTACTTGCTCTGGGATTGCGGTCAAAGGCATTTCAGAAGTTTGTAATTAACCATGGAAACTATGTACTGTATTTTTCAGAGTACAAGAAACACCTTTTTCCCTCAAAAAAGAGGCTGAAAATCTGGATGCGTTTTATTCAATGAATATAGCATTTTTTGCCTCCTGAAACCCCGCCCCCTTCACCAAAATGGCCACGCATAGCTTGTAGGAGACTTTCAGAGAGCTCCTGGGGGCCTAATGCATTTTTTTTTTTTACAAAACACGTGCCCATTTTTGCAAAAAAAAAAAAGGGGGGGTGTTTTTTGCTTGTTTTTTCCCTCCCCAACCTCTGGAAACACTCTACAAGCCCCCTAAGGGCTAGTCATGCCCTTTTTTTTGAAAAAAAGAAAAAACAGGCCCGTTTTTGGGAGGTTTGCAGAGTGCAAAAACTTTTTTTAAAAAATTTGCCTCTTCAAAATCTTGGTGCATCTTATACTCTGAAAAATACGGTACTTAACCCAGGTTATTGAGAACCACCCAACTTCCAAAAATGTAAGTGCAAAGAAACAGCTAAAGGAAAGATAGTAACTAGAGCTCAAGTAGCATATAAATTTAATAATTACCATCATCATCTAGACCCTCTAATAGTTGTGATAATCTCACAGTTCCATAAAAACAATTTTATCAGTTGATAAAGAGATTGGAACTATACTATTTGGTACAGAATTTAAAAAGCTCTGATTTAAAATCTGTATGTTTTCTCCCATACATAGTGCAAATAGGAGGCAGAGTACTGCATTGCTTAATTTTTTAATCTTAAAAGCCAGCAGCTTATTAGATCTCCTTTTTCCATCAGGTACAAAAAATATAAGTAAGTGGTATGTAACCTGTAAAATTCAAATGAACAGAAACTAAATACAGGTAGTCCTCAACTTACAACAGTTCCTTTTGTGACTGTTGGAAGTTACAAAGCACTGAAAAAAGTGGCTTATGATTATTTTCAAGACATATGACTGTTACAGCATCTTCATGATCATGTGATCAAAATTCAAATGGTTGCAACTGACTCATATATATGACAGTCACAGTATCCTGGGATTGTGTGATCACTTTTTGCAACCTTCTAACAAGCAAAGTCAATGGGGAAGTCAGATTTACTTAAAAAATGGGTTACTAATTTAACAATTGCGGTGATTCATTTAAGAACTGTATCAAGAAAGGACTTGATAAGGGCAAACTCACTTAAACAAATGCCTCACTTAGCAACATAAAGTTTGGGATCATTTGAGGTTGTAAGTCGGGGACTTCCTGTATCTAAAATTATGGACCTCATCAACTCTGCCTTATCACCTACTTTCAGTTCTATGGACTGATATACCAAATAATCAAAGAATCACCCATGGGATCCCCACTCTCAAAACTCATAGCAGAGACTATATAATGCAGCATCTCAAAACTATAGTACTTCCACACATACAACCAAAAGCATGGATCCTGTATGCAAATGACACCCTTCTCATAATTAAAAAAAGGAACTAGAAAAGACTCATGAAGCAATCAACATCTTTAACAGGAATAAAAGAAGAAAACAACAATACTACCTTTTCTGGATGTCCTCATCACTAGAGGAAACAACAGCAAATTAGAAACGCAATTCATCTACAAAGAACAACCCACACTAACCAATTGGTCCATTACTAAAGTAACAACCCAACCTCCCATAAGAATAGTTGCATAAGATATTATTCAAAAGAGCACAAACACACTGCAGGAA